GTCTCAGCAGTTCCAACACCTCTACCCAAAACCCTATTACATTCGCTACGACCGAGAGGGGAAGTATTGTGGGACACTTCATCAATGACCAAATAGAAATCCTGCTACAGAACATTACTCAGAGATATTTAGCTATTAATGTTCACGCGAATTATGCTAGAGTTATCTTATAACTAATCGCTTTGCCAAAGAACACACTTCGCTATCAATATACGTACCGAATAAACGTATTGCGTGCTACACGCCCGTTTCCCTTATAGCTGGGCTATAGCTTAGCTTGTTTAGGGAGTCTAGCTAGATGTTGGAGAATCTGCCATAGAGATTTCTGAGTCGGTCAGTCTTTACTAGCGTAGCAATCCGCTACAGTGTTGTGACGATCTGTTGCCTTATAGTTTACTATGAAAGTTGATAAAATAGTTGAAAATGATAAGACGATGATTTTCACATATATATTTCTTTTGGGTTATTGAGTTTTCAAGTCACTTTTTGTTTGATCTTGTCGTGAATGTCTTACCTTTCCTTGCTTTTCACCCTAATTGCAGAGCGCTCCATCAAAGTTACCTCCAGTACTTCCTCGAGTCCTGCCAGCATCACATCCCTCCTCCGGGTCACAGAAGCCAATCGTGGTTCGTGTCCCAAATTCATCAGATGGAACTAAGGTGACATCGGCACTCGATGCCTCACCTAGAATGTCTACTCAAACAACAGATGGACTATCAAGTGACTTGATATCAAAATCTCGTTTAGCTTCAAAGATAATGGGAATGAACCCGGTTCAATCATTTGATTCTCCATCCAATTCCAATTTGAGTACCAATCAAAGTGCATCAAAGGTTGACGGAAAATCGGAAAAACAAACAGCTCCCAAAAACGAATGGGAGTCAGTTTTAGCAAGAAACGTAGCAGAGGAAGTGGCTAAAAAGATAGCTCAAAAATCATCAATGGTCGTACCAAACGTGTTACCCCTCACCACGCGATCTTCTTTTCTTCAAAGTAGTTTCTCGGCTGATAAAGGGACAAATGGGCCTAGTAGCTCTATGGGTCATAGCACCAAATTGACGACAGCTGATATGCGACGTCGTCAGCGTAAGCGCTTTGATTTATCATCATCAAATAGCGCAGATGATCCCGGTTTTTCCTATCCATTCGAATCCCCTGAAGCCGCTGATTTAATCAAAACCTGGTTAAAAAGGTCTGGAACTGATGTGTCTAAAGTAAAGGCGTCTGAATTACCAAGTGAAATCGCTGCACTCTTCGGTTTGAAGGAAGGCACTGTTGCCAAAACTGTTCAGAATAAACCTGTACATAGATGTAAATATTGTAGATTGACATTTGAAAAAATAGAGATATTGTGGGCCCATTGTGTCAGGTAAGTGGTTTGTTGCTTTATATTTGAAATCATTTACATAATACATAAGTTCCTTATTTTTCTTGTTACAGGGAACACTTCAAATATGATTTTAAGAGAAAACCGCCACCTAATGCTCTTTCCACATCAGGGAGGCGGCGTTCAGCTGGTTCATCCACATTGAATGTTGCTAAAGGGTCTAAAGGTTGCCCACTGAAACTGACTCCTAGTTTTTCAGTTAGTTCAGCATCATTGGCTGGAATACAGACGGCTGAACCAATGTCTTCCTCTGCAGATGTGGTTTCCCAGAACGAAACGCCTAAAGGGCAGGAAAAGCCAAATTCTAGCAGTGGTGTAAATGAGGATGAATCTAAATCGGCTGCTAGTAAAATTAGTGAAATAAGTTTGATGTGTCCTCTGTGTAAATTTAGTAGTACTTCTCGTGATGCTATAATGGAGCACGTGGTTGCTTTTCATTAATTGCTGTGTGCGCTGCGAGTTACTACTAACCATCTCAATCAAATTGCCTCTATATGGTTAAGGCAGTCTTGATTGTTAGTGTGTCTTCAAAAAGAGCCATTTACCGTATTGCGGAATTTTGTGTCAGCCGAATTCAAAAGCCGCGATTAAAAGTGCTCTTTCTGCTCGAAACTCTCGTACTCTTCCATTTATCTCATTCCGTATTCGGTTGATTTCCTACAATAGGGAAGTGCTATCAAATTTCTCTCGGTTATAATATTTTGGTTTCACTGCAAAAAGAGATTTCATACTTGTTATCCCCTATTCTTTATACCTAATTGCACTAATTGGATCTCGTCGATGTTCAGAGCCCCCTCCCACTGTCTATAATTGTACATATTATAATAGATTTTATTGAATATTTTCTTATTTGTGCCTATTTATCCTTTACATCTAAATGTTTAATCGAGTACATTATATCTTGTGTGACACTTAACCTTAAAGCAAATCAATGTTTTAAGTAAAATGGACATATCATAGATGATTTAATCCTTAACATCAAACATTTTTCAATCATAATTTCACACTGACAAAATAATCTGATTGCAATCTTTGCTTGTCGTAACTTACACGCCTAGGGGGAGTTGTTTTCCGGACAAGTCTTCGTTGGTGGAATCCATTCGGTTGGGAACATGATTTTGTCACATTTTGGTACAAATAAACACGTTGGTTCACGGATGTTTATGACCCACAATTATGTTATGTCAGCATCAAGATAAGCTGCACCTCAAAATGGTTTTGAATTTTCACTCCTTAACAAGACAAATCAGATCTAGCAGATAATTTTTAACAAAATTGGGTTGGAAACCTGTTCAGACCGAAGAAGCTTTGCAGCTGGTTTATGAGGCCCTCCGTCAGGTAGAGTAGTCGTTTAAGATTGGATTTAACGTTATAGTGTCCATGAGGGGTGGGGTGTTGAGACCTACAGCTGCAAGAAAACCTCTCTCATGTGCAGAACCTAGTGGAACAGGATCGACGACCTTCCATTGAGGAAATTGCCTATGACGTAAGAATTACACATGGATAAGCAATTTCAAATCTCACTGAAAATCTTTGTTCAAGAAAGCTCTCGGTGGATTCAATGAGTTGAAAAAGTGTTGCAAGAACAATAAATGATCCAAAGAGCTGAAATTTCTTTATCAACGTTGGCAAAGACAAAAGCAGATGAGTATGATTTTTAGCTCCGCTTTTATCCAGAAAACTAAATTCAATCAAAAGTGTAGTATCTTAAGGCCTGTCGAGTTCAGTGCTGAAAGATGTAGCGGATTGCTACGCTAGTAAGGCCTGACTGACTCAGGAATTTCTGTGGCCGATTCTCATACATCTTGCTAGACTCCCAGAACTAGCTAAGCTATCGCCCATGTATAGAGGAAACAGCCGTACAGCAAGGAACGCGTTTATTAAGTAAGTATGATGTGGGTACATGCAGAGAACTTAATCATAATCAGCGTGGTGCATTAGGTTGAACAAACGGAAGCTTCTGATTGGACACTGGTTGTAGGGCTGTCAGCACAGAAAGTTGTACGGCCACACCTCCTAATCCAGGCGTGCGTGCATGTGATGACTCAAAGATACTTTAAGGAAATAAGAGCCACTATTTAATGAGTAAGAAAAATGAATGCAATCACAGAATTACAGCATTTGTCTGAGTGCTAAACAATTATACGGTACGGATATAGACAATGAACTTTCACCTTATGCGCTTTACGACTGTATTGTATTATTTTTAAAATAATGATCATAAATATGCTATACTAGTCTCTCACTCTAAAATTCAATTCAATGTAGTACATATATTCTCTTTTAATGTGACGGGAATGTAATATTAATCATTTGAAGACCAGAACTGGTAAAAGCCAATAACCCAGTCTCGATGCAATTTCCGTTCTAGGTAGCTCGAAAGTTCACTCATCTGAGTGAACAACATTCGCATTTTCATCGTTTGGAAGTCTAACGATTCCCACGTGACCCTAATATCACAAGATATGCTAACACTAATATGCATATTCCATTTCCTATTGCAGGAGTGAGTTCTGATTTAATTTTTTTACTCTGTTGGTAAACCGCTTACGTTTCATTATTGAGAAAATAATTTGTAACATTGAGGTGACCTTCTTCACTCGTCACTCAAGGGGCATCATGAGGTATATATGCGTAATGCAAATATGGCTTCTGTTATAGCATGTGGTCAGTCATTAGTTAATATGAAATCACACATACCACAGGGTGTCTAGTCAAATATACCAGGTATATGTTGACACTATTCATGATCTATTTATGCACTTTGTATTGGCGTTGCCCAAACTGTGAATGACCGGATCGGCTATTGATGGTTGATATTAAATACCGTGGTCTCTCATAGTTACAGACTTGAAGTCACGCGTCAGTGATTTTGACGAAATATTCCATTTCGGGGCACTATAAAGCATTGCTTTAACTTCCTATAAATCCCCCTTACTGATCAGTTGTTCACACCATATTAATTAACATTCCTCTCTTGTCTAAATTGTTGCTTTCTTCCTGTTCTCGCAAAAGTTGGCATTATGTAAGAGTAAAGCTTGCATAGCCCGGTCAAAGCCATCCTATGCACTTGAATGTAAAAACGACTGTAGGAGAACCCTCAATTTTTGCGCCACCACCGTAAAATGAATCGTATGCATATACGACTGACCAAGTACCAGTCCATGCAAAAGAACAATTTCAATGATATCCATTTGCAATTTGGATTAATTATTAATTAATTAATTATTAATTAATTAATTTGGACTAATTATCATGTGCTGTTTCTGCAAACAGTTTGAAAAAAGTTCTAGCTCATCATTCGCTTAGCAACTTCAAAAACTGTTCAGAATGAATGAAGAAACTGATACCAAACATGAACTTGGACATTTTGGTACGTTGGAAACCGTATTAGAGAAGTTCCCTGTACGTATCCAGCCTCTCCTTATCCACTTGGGATGGAAAGATACTGTTTGTTTTGTTTCCTTGAACATTGACGTTTCAAGGAAGACCAGTTAGAAACGCATGCATTGCTTGATTGATAAGTGGTAAATACTAAGCATAATTTAAAGAATTAATTTTAAAAAATATATAAAAAATAGAAACAAAAACAAACTTTACTGACTATACGAATATTACATGCTCTAGTGAATGCAATTTTACAACGAAGATTATCTTGTTGAAGATACCCAATGGGATTTCACCACTCACAATAACATAATTTAAAAAACACGGAAAACGGATCAACGAGCAGTAGAACACTTGGTAAAGTTCAATCCAACGCGTTGATTGGGTACTTGACTTTAGGAAAAGTCCAACCTCTTGCGTATCCTCCAAACATGCACCTGTGTCCAGATTCTTTTAAAGTAGTTGGGAACCTCAAGAAATGTAAGCCAGTACAGATAGTTCGTACTAACCAGCACACCAAAATAAATATGCCACAGAGCAGCTCTCTAACATTCAAGTCTTCTTAGAAACATTCCAGTTAGAAAATGCAGCTGAATGTCAACTAAAACTGGTTTCTGATTTTCTAGAACAAAATCCAGGCAAAAATCGCTTAAATTTAATCAGTAATAGGACATCTCTTATTTAAAAATGAAATAGCTTAAGGATCCATTGTCAATTTGGCTACATGGGTGAATATGAAGACGTATAAGCATATTCTTAATTCCAGTAATGTAGAAAGTACAATCTTTGCAAAGGCGTAAAGCGAGAAGAACACACAGAGATATATTAACGGTAATCACACAGAGAAGTAGTTTGGCAGAAATTGTTTTCCCTGCGTTATAAAGATGAATGGAAATGAGAACCACACAGAGGATTGAATAAGTGGGTGATAAGATGGTAGGAAGCCTCACAAATTGAATACGTGCTAACAAAAACATCACTTTCATGTATATGGCTAAATAGGGCACTATACGGAAACCCCATATTAGTCAATAAGATAAATTATTCATTTCAATGACCCCATAGAGTGTAGGTTGTAATCAACATGAATGAGCAATTAAAAAGCTGCGTTGTTACCCTAAAATTTAATTATGATTTTCATCGGTATGTTTTGCAGTAAATATGCTTCATCACAAGCTCCTTATGGGGGAAACTCGTATTACATTGCAAGAACGCTATGATGGCAACATACTCGATCTTTCCAGGCCATTCGATTTACAACGCCGCTTCGTAGATTCAACATTTGTGGCTTGTACTAGGTATACTTTCTCTCGACTTATCTATTTGATGAAAAAGAGATGGTTGGGTTTGATGTTTCGGTAATTATACACCTCTCCTTGACAGACGCTATAAGCTCTTCAGCATGGTCACACGTAAAAATGAAGATAGTTTGCAGTTGTAATTGTATTATTAGCTTATTTTGCTACGGTTTCCTATGGCTACCTCAAGGAAGATCGATTTATATGCCTCATTATCATTTATGACCTTCTATCCTCTTTGTCCGTACTGAGAAAGTTTCACGATGTCAATGTTTACGACAATGTTGATGAGCATAGAATACTCGGAAGTCTCGTTATGGACTCGAATTTTCTGAAAAAATATAAACAATAACCCTATTTGAGGTTCTTGTTGATACTGGCTCTGTTGCGACCATTGACTCCCCTATGGATGTGGAGAAAATTTGGAAGTCTCGCTATATGTGCTGTTCATAATAAAGTATCTAGAGGTTCTGTGAGCCTATGCAACTCTGTTAATCAATGTAATGTAAGTATAGTCTTGAGGAGAAGATCACCAAAGAGTACTTCGTTGTCGATCAAAATAGACTGAATTGATTAGTTTAACCTTTGTCAGTTTTTCTAAACGAATACAAACTCTGTCCGACGCCTACTAATGCGGTGAATCTTGATGGAAAATTGATTGATGCGTGAAAAAAATGAAATTCCTCAGTTAAAACTGGCCTAAGATTAAAATTGCTCTTCAGAACCAATAAGAGTTGCATCGATCCGTCCATGAAAAAAATTCCAAAAAATGTTGTAATTGCGTTCAAGGATTTTGGGCTTGGAAGACTCACTGAAAGTTTGTTATAACGGACGTCAATCATTTGAAAAAAATAGGAGAGAAACTGCTGAGTTGGGAAATAAAAATATGAATCGGAAGAAATAGAAATCAACTAAAAGATGAAAAGTTAATGATCAAATATATCCAGTCAAATAGTGACCAATTTCCTGCAAATGAAAGCTGTGAGGGAGAATCGCAGACTCACAATTAGCATAAAAATAGATCAACAATTCATTTATAAATATGTAATTTAATCAACTTCTTACTTATTGCAGAAATGAAGACAAAGGTTAGACTTTTCGCATGCAATCCTCTTCAATCGCCTGGATTCTGAAAATATAAAACCTCCGCAGCTAACATTTAATTGATCTTTCAGGAAACAGGAGTTTTAATAAATATTCTCTTCATAACTTACGCGATAAGAAATTAAAATTGGGTGGAACTTATCCTCGACATTATCGTATTTAAAATATTGTGCAATTTGTCTCCATTAAGAGCTTATATATCTATAGCATCGTATTACACTATGTTTGAATCGCCCATGCCGTTAAACACACGCACACACACACACTCATACACACGTAGTAGCCAATAAAAATCAAGACAGCCATAAGGTTGTGTTAATAAAGGCTGATTTTAATTGGCTGTCGTCTTTTCGTGAATGCCACGTCAAGCCTTTAAAAGAGTTCATTTCTGGTCACGGATAAACGCGTACGAAATGACGTGTATTTTGTGAATTTACTTCTAACTTTCTCGACCATGTCATAAAAAACGAAGTAATTCTCTACACCAATTGGCAAATCAATTACATTGTCAAGTGCTACATGCTGTTAACTAAAGAATAGCTTTATTACCCTGATAAAAATATCCGTAAACGTATTCCAATTTGCCACGTATTCTTGAGCATTTCGATTTTGACTTAATACTCCTAATTTAAGCACCAAATCGTGTAATAATTCCTTACCTTCTATCTGGCTCTCCAAAGATAACTCATGAATTATTTCTTTAACGAGGGGAATTGAAAGCTTGTCAAACGCTCTTTCGAAATTTTCTCCTATTTTGAATTTCCTCTAATGCGTGTAACTAAATTATAGGCATTGCAGTCCAATAGGTGAACATGGGGCGGTTACACTCTTGTTAATTTAATGAAAGGGGGGTGCGTGATAGACTTACTTCCACGTGGTGCACCTTGGGAAACGTATACTCATACGGCAAAAAAGTCTATTAACTGGCGATTGACTTCTGGCGCAGTACTCATCCTACCTTTTCTCTCCCTTCATGTTTGTCTTTTTACATCTGTAAATCACTCTTCTGTTCCCCACCCCTCGACTTTCTGTTACTTTGATGTTCCTTCCCCCTGTGAAGCCCGAAGTCAACTAACGGGCTAATGATAACTATCAGAACGCCTGCTATTTGAAATAAATAAATAAATAATTTAATGAACGGGCCCAATAATATGATAGACCCTACGAGGTGTTCAATAAGTCTAAGTAAAAACTTTGCCTGATCGGCCGGAATTCAAAATGTTCCCCATTTCGTCAATGGGATATTAATTCAGTTTAGGTATTTCATGCGGCCGATTGCAGAAACAAGGGACTCTGAATACAGCTTCACTATACTTTATACGATTTAAATATTACACATGTGATTAAAAAACAAGAAAACTTTGTCAAGATCTATAATTTTTCTGCTATTTGTTTAAAGATTAGAATATAGATTATAAATAGTAATAGCAGTATCAGATATTAACCAGGAGATAAAAATGATTCCGTAAATATTTGTGCGTATTTCATTCAAACAAGAGCAATTAGTCATCGACGTTGTCATTAAAGTTTCTGAATAGTGGTCCAACATATTCACCACCCCCGCCACCATTTTGACCGACAGTGTGATCTGACATTGGTACTGGCCAAACATAACCTCCACTTCCGAAGTTAGTTGGTATATTTTCGTTATTCGGAGCAGGTAGAGCCAAAGTAACCTCTCCGCTTGTTGCCGCATCGCTTACAGCATTACGAATAGCGGAAGCATAATCTTCCGGCGCACTATCGTTGCTAGTGGTAGTATATTCCACTGTTGTAGGCAGACTCTCCAGCTCTAAGTCATATTGGGTAGGTCTATGTGACTGCGGCATCATAACTTTTGCTTTTATTGAATGGTTCATTTGTGCACGGGGTGGTAGTCCATCAGTGGATCTGTGGCTACTGCTATACCGACGAGCAGCGTTTGACTGAATAGAGGAACCAGATGTTGGTGTGTTAGTCAATTCTCCTGGTGGACTTGAGCCTGAATCCCTGTCACGTCTTGCACTTGACTCTGAATAAGCACCGGATAAACGTGTAGTCCGAGTATTTGTGCTTATCAAACTACTTGTTGGCTATAGAGCAATAATATTCATGAGATATTCATCGCAATTTAATTACAAAATCCTTTATCTTAATTAGACTACCCTGCTATGAAGGAAATATTCAATAGTGTCCGCCTTGCTTCGAAGTAACTGAAGAATGTCTGCAAATGATATTCGTTCTTCTGGGTTTTCACGCCAGCCTAAAAGGCATTGGGTTATTATTATTATTATCAACTACAAATTACAAGCTAGCAGAAGACGTTGATAGGTTTCCAGTGTGCATATATCCGGTTGTTGCAGACGTCCACCGGTCACGACATAACGCTTAACATCTTTGGTTTCAATTGTAGGGTACGGTCTCTGTCCAAACGTGAATATCTCCCACAGGGTTACGCCTGTAAAAAAATAATATTGATTGGTTTCAAATGGTATTATTATGCCATATTGAAAATTTTAGGCACGCTACAGCGAAGCCTAAAATCCTCCAGCTTGTCCAACTGTTTCTGCGTCCATTCCCAAATATTCAATCAGTCAACTAATCTTTTATTTCCATCAGATTAGCTACTTCTAATGCCTGTCTACATTTTTCCTGCCCCATACCCCTTTTATACTGGAGGCACAGTAGAAACCCCCATTTCTCAGTGAATATCATATAGGTAAATTAAATTATATCCGTGGCAATGCACTCAATGCCCAATGATTAAGTTAAATTTGACTCTAGTTAGGGACTTAAGTATTTATTTCATTGAAAAAAAATAAGGTCAACATAATTATGAAGATAGAAAGTACTATAAACTCAAAGCAAACAAATCATTAAGTGTATTTTCTTATACTTAAACGAACTTAGCAAATTGTCAAGAAAGTTATTTTCAGTACCGCCACGTTATCACCTTCATATTTGCGAATGAGTCATTTGATTAATCGTTATTGGCTAATTCGAACAAAGATAGCTTTTCTATTCTGCTTTTGGTTTATCTACCCTACAGCCAATCGTGAACAATCACATCATGGAACATTATGTATTGGCGTTATTCTCCTGATTCGAGTCCATCGTAGACCAGACATATAAGTAGCAAGAAAATAAAATGCTTTTCAATATAATTAAATTAGGTGAAAGCACTGCAGTAAATGCTGGGGCACCGGTTTGCACGTGTTATGCGTCACCAGTGCGCCGTATATTTGAAGCAGGAACTATCATGTGAATTTAAGATGCTGCATCAGTGTTCATGAAAGTTCTGCTGTTGGTTCCTTGGCGTGTATGAGACGTTAATTCTTCTAATTACTCATTGAACAACAACCCTATAGTTAAATAAAAAAATATGCGGCATCTGCTAATGAGCTCTATTTTGGTGTTTATAACAGCACATAGCAAAAATTTAATCTATTTGAATACTAGCTATTTACTTCTACCAGTCTCGCACATGTTTTAATTTGTTTTCTGCAATTAGGGCATATTAGTTTGACAAATATAGTGAAAAGATTGCTGGTTTAATTAAAACAACCGAAAAAGGTCAAAGCATTTAGAGTCTGAATGAGCAATTCCTACTTGTGGTCACTAAGTTGGTCACTATCATCATACCGACTCACGCCAATCTTGTCAAGTTGACAGACAATATGGCCGTAATGTGGCCACCTAAAATCAAATACGTGAACACGCCTTTTGTTCATACATAGTAAATAGTCTTTGTTGAACACCAGAGAGTCTTGGCATCAACAATACCCTGGTGATATTTTATGGGTGAAAATCCTGTGAACAGACTAACTGGAATTAAAAAGTGCCTTTATAATCTTATTTTACAAATGACAGTGATAAATATATAAGGTACTATAATCTAATCATGACTCCAATCCAAAGGTCACTAATTGATCGTGATTCAGGCAATATGATTCACCTAATAATTGTTTTCTGTTCAAAATAACGAAATTGTATGCTAAATAAGTTTCTCAACCATTACGGATCTCAGAAGAAAACAGCAAAAATGAGTAAATATGACTCCTAATACAACATGAGAATCAAGTGTAGAACTTAATTTTGCTACCACAATTTGAGCACATTCGTTTTACAAGACCTAAAGATGTCAAATGCCCTGCGATGAAAGTGGCTACGATGTTTCTTAAAAAGACCCAAAAAACGACATAGAACTTGCGCATGCAAATTTGTTTGTTTAACTCAAACGAAAATTTCAAAAATAGTCATCTCTAAAGCTATCTGAATACAAACTACACCTTTAGAGAATAAAAGATTATCAGTATGTTTTTCCTTACCGTATGCCCAAATATCCGTTTTGAATGAGTATCTTCCACTAGTCAGCGTTTCAATAGCCAGCCACCTTATTGGAACTCGCCCAGATTGAACAACAACTTCCTCACTTTCCTCTTCCTCTCCACTTAACATCTTCGCCAATCCGAAATCAGTGATTTGAACCCAATCACGTTCTTTGACTAAAACGTTTCTTGTGGCCAGGTCTCTGAAATAAGAAATTTGTTTTGGCTCGATATCATGAGTTGGATTTTTAGATGAGCAAAACTCATACAAGTCGGTTTGTACCTGTGAATGATACCGGCCGATTGAAGATAGGCCATACCATCTGCGATTTGTTCTGCCCAAAGTAGCAATAGCCGGTGGGGAAGATCGTGTCTTGATCTGCGAATATATCCATCCAGGCTACCGTTCGCTATATACTCTGATACCAGATATTTTTGTGAACCAGCCAGACAAACACCAAGAAGTTGTAGGCAGTTCTTGTGACGCACGGAACACATGACCTTTAATAGAGGTAATGAAATCAGTTTAAAGCAACAAAAAAGGGAATTATATATCTCAACTTTACCTTAGCTTCCTCAAGAAGTGCCTGCAGGTCACTGGAGCCATTTTGCTCATTGAGAATTTTAACAGCGACGTTTACATGCCGCCGATTATCTGGACCCTCAAATGTTGGCACTTGAACATCTTCAACACCATCCGGTATTCGCCATATGCCCTTATAAACTGCTCCAAAAGCTCCGGTTCCCAAGGCGACCTTGTTTTCAGGCAATTGAATATCATCAAGATTGATCATCACCAAGCGCCCCATGTTTGGTTGTTGGCGTACTGACCGTCGATATATCTAAACAAGGAAGTTAATATCCACATGTCAATAAAAGGTTTGAAACCACTTCGGAACCTACGGGGTTGTACGAATGACCATTGCGATAGATCAGGATTGGTTGTGGAGATTTGACTCCGTCGGCACTACTATCATGACAAAATTGGCAGGCAGATCCTTCAGAAGATGACCATGTTATTCGATTGCTGGCCGCGTATAGACTTGCTCCTTGTGCATCACTGAAACCTGAAAAACCGCCATTTTCGGCTGCCAAAGTACCAGCTCTCGATCCTGCAGTATACGAAACCACTCGATGAGGTCGACCGTTATTTGGCTCGCTATGCAAACGTAAAATCTGAAGCGAAAGCAGCAATTTAATAAGGCGTTAACAAACCTAAGGCATATTTTGAAGGATGTTCTGGCGTTTTTTAATTTGTGTAATATTCTTAAAAAGTCTATAAACCGACAATTGACTTCTGAATTCAAACTACCATGACCTCACTGTTTGCCACATTCCGCCACTTTCAAAATACTTTCCTCTCCATTTCTCTATCATTGTGTCTTTCTCTTTTACCCCTATGAATCACTTTTTTGTCCTCCCCCACCTCAACTTTTTGTGACTTTGATGTACCTTCCCTCGGTGAAGCCCGAAGTTAACTAAAGGGCTAATAATAACTATCGCAAAGCCCGTCATTTTATAAATTCTAAAATCCTAAAACAAAATGTACACAATCGAAATGCATTCTGAAATTATATATTACCTTATCGAATACTCTTACAAATGGAGATGTTGAGGGCTTGGTTATGAACGAGTTCTTTGGTCTCCTTTGACGACGTTTGAATAGGCAGGCAAGAGCAATGCAAATAAGAGAGATTGTAAGCACGACTGCAAGGGGAACAACCAAACCGGCTCCAATTTTATGTGATTCTTTTGCGGACTCCGAGAGTTGTCTTTCAATGAGAACTGAATCGGAATTGACATTGGCGGAAGTGTGACAAGTAAGGTCTCCAGTTAGTGGATCGTATTTAGTAAATGGCATTTCAGCAGGACAGGCAACTTCACAAGTAAAGTGCATGGGACTCTCTGGGTTCTAAATTGAAGTCAGCAGTCATATATATATCTGAATTGCCGTTCAAGTAAAGTAAAGGAAACATACTTACCTTCTGTCTCTTATCCGACTTTGAATAGCCATATTCTGGAGGGTTGAATGCATCTTTGTTTAACATATATGTAACAGTTGAATCATTGGGAAGATGCCACAACTCATTTTTTTTATCAAGAGCTCCAGAATGCCAAACACGATAATGAACGCATCGACGACAATGAGCAGACGTTGGTCCCCAACACCCACCTCTGCATTCCTTGTGGCAAAGAAGACATTTCCCATTGATATGTCGTGTCCAGAGTTGTGGCCTTGGAAAGCTGTCTGATCCACGTATTGGACTGGGTAGATTTGATGTAAGAAATAATCCTCTTCGATCCAATGATTGTCGGAAATGATAGGCTACATGTACCTCAGGTGGATGAGTAAGCGAAATCTGGAAGGTAAAATCTAGTTAAAACGGGTGTCATCTTGAACTGGGACCTCTAACCTTCTGGACATTCCTTAACACAAGTCTCTTTGAACCAGAATCCTTGACAATCTAAGCAACCAGGGGTTGTATTGGTCGCCCTAAGGACACTGTATCCGTTACATGTGCGACAGAGGCTGTGACAGGAGCGACAAGCAGGTACTGCATGGACGCCTTCCTCCACAAAAGGCCTGAATCTTGAAAGAGCATCTACCGATTCAATCGTCCTGAAGGTACCCATCGGGCATGCTCCATGCATGCAAAGTAGAGCTCCATGCTGAGTTCTTACTGAATGTTCTTAAATAGTGAACACGATTTCGTTAAAACTCGATATTCAGCATAAAGGTTACAGCTAAATGTATTTTATACCTTTCAAGATCCCGTCAAACGAGATGAATTCCAGGAACATCTCGCATTTTTTGCATCCTCCTGGACCTGGGTAGTTTCCTGGTCCCGAACAAACTGGCTTCCGGCTAAGTGAACGTTGATGACACTTAGCATTACAGGGAGTACAGACTCCCTTTCTTGCGTCCAGGAAGGTATTATGGGGGCATTCCACTACGCATTCACCTTTAAACTGAATGAGTGATAAATTCGTCGTAAACCTGAATTATACTTACTTAAATTAGGAGCGATAATACTTACACTAGCATGCTTGCACGGTCCAACACATTGGTCAGGCCCAGGACCAGTACATGTTTGAGCGCATTCTGAATGACAGCGTAAACAAGAGATTGAAGCTTTAGCATCTTTAGATTTTCCCTGGCTAACCTCATCCATAATATGTCCAGCAGCGAGTCTAGCTAACTGCAATCGCTTTGTCATGGGATTAGGAGGTGAGGTCATAGATAATTCAGCTGAGATGTCCTCTATTGGCGTTTCGTAATATCCGGGTAGTTCGGTACAACTATTTACACAAATGGTGTCTTTAATAGAATGGCTACGACATCGTATACAATCCTCACGTCGTGGGCCCCAACATCCAAATGCCGGATTACAGGATGGATGACAGTAAGCACCTTTTGCTCCTAATGGTTCAAATTACTGGAGTAAAGAGTATATAGATATGAATTCGGTTAATCTGATGGTCATGCATTCTTACGGCACTCATCTGCAGTGGAGAGATTGTGAAGCTGAATTTCAAAATGGCTGCCCTGAATGCCCTTTGCATCTGAGTCAAAAAAGTAAATACTTTCCAGAAATAGAAAAAAAGAAAACTACCTATTGTCTGTACGTAACACAAATTAGGTGACTCAATGAAGGAAATGCTTCCATGCGGCGAATCTTGAAGTTTGTGCAATCCAGCAAATTCGATATCTCCATGTAGCACTGCCAAGCTTATGCGGAAATCTGTTAAATAAATTTACCATTATGAAACGTGTTTGGGAACTAGATATAAGTTCCTGCAGTTCTTACGTTCACCACCAATCTTGCGGAGATTTTCTAAGAAAGTTAGATTTTTCAACGATGTTGGATGTCTGCGAAGATCTAGATAGACAAACCCAGTCACTTCTTGTAGGGAATGAAGTGCCCACAGTTCTTCCGAGCTTTTAATAGGCAAATTCTTTTGATGCTCGTGCCTAAAATGAATGCGTTTTTAGCAATGTTGTATCTAAAGTAAAACCCATCAATTATGCAGAAAGGAGTATTTTAGATGCTTCATTAAGCATAGTAATCTAATGGAGCTATTGGTATGAAGAATATTTGCACTTAATGGTTTGTATGACCTCGTCATCACCAAATGCACAATGTCTCCATAGTGAAGCTGCTTTTGTGGTATTAGTATTATTTTTCCTTATTACCTTATTATTCATTTTAACTCATCTTAAAGAAATAATCGTAATTACGATGTGGAAGTTTGCCTTATTTTATTCATAGTCAACTATTACTCAGCATGAAAGTCGAATTGAATCTCTTTGGGCACGAAAATAAGCTATTTATTTATGCGTGTGACTTTGAAGGAACACACATCCGCCTTGTGGTTAATGCACAACAGACTTCAATGTCCCCTAACAAAGTCAGGAACTTAAGCACTCACTTTCTTTGCAACAAAACGATGTCTACTTTCAAGCAGTGCTACTTTTCATACAAATGGAGAGGTTGCCTACTACTAATGTACTTTTACTGATAAAACCTTTTGATATGATTAGTGACTTAACAATAGGACATTTACTCACCCATAGGACTCTTCTGAAATCACTAGGTTTCCAGAAAGAGTCGTGCAATTCTCAAGACTTGCTAGAGTTATGGCATCTAGACTTGAACCTCCTGTATAGCAAGCTAAAAGAGGGGAAAGTAATCAAAATACATCTTTCTTCCAAAGTTGTAAATGAAAATAAAATTAATTTTTTTCAATATTAAAATCTATGAGACCACTTTGGTCATTCATATTCATTCCTGTTGTTGTGGCATTAACAAGTGCATAGAAGTTTGAGTTATTTAAAGTATTATTCAAATTAATGAAAAGGCCAGTATTCGAGTGACTTACTTTTTGGACAATTTTCTCCACAAGGAATGCAGAACTGACCGGAAGCGTAGTATAATCCAGGAGTACATTCGGTAACACATCTAGTTCCCTCCGCCATAAGCGTTTCTACAAGTTGTTCAAATTATACGCAGTTGAGTTCTGCGGCAACTTGTCCTCTAAGTAAAGGTTAAGTCATCCTTGGTAGCGAAAGCAACGATTAGAAATGCTCACGGTAATAAGCTTAGGTTTTTGAGGAGATCTGGCATACCATTTTAAGATCCCACAAGTTCACCAGAAATGCGAAGTCAGGCTGCAAAATTAAGTGCGTATATCCAGTACAAACTCATGCGCTAAATTACAAACAAATGAATCTATCTAATCAAGGGAGTAGGATGGAATCCTTCAGTGCCTTGTTTTCTTGACATCTAGACTGAAGTATGCAAAAGACAACCTATCTCGAAAGCGATAGACTTAATGTCACGTTGTGTATCCTGATCAACGTATACTCATACAGCAAAAAAGTCTATAAACTGGCAGTTGACTCCTGACTTCAAACTGCCATGTCTCCACTGTATATCATATTCGACCCCTCCACAGTACCCATCTTACCTTTTCTTTGCCTTTGCGTCTATCTGTCTGTCTCTTTTACATCTGTGAAACCTTATTCTCTCCCCCATCTCGACTTTTGTCACTTTGATGTTCCTCCTCCTCTCTGTGAAGCCCGAAGTCAGCTAAAGGGCTAATGATAACTATCAAAACGCTTGCCATTTGAGATAAATATAAATTTAATCATAGAACTTGACTTTCGGATGACTTTCAACCTTTGGAGAGTATGGGAAAGTGTTTATGTGCGACCTCTGTGAACTAGTCATACCCTGATTTCACCTCCAGTTTATTGCACATAGGGATAGAGCTCGCTGCTCAGATCCAA